TGTTTTAGGGACAGGAAGCCCTTTCCTTGCCCCGCGTCCAGGGTTGTACCTATGTACTCAACCTGTTGAGAATGAGATAGGTGGGACTTCTCTAAACCATTAATTAGGCTCAACCATGACAGGGTCTGGAGGATGATGTCCATGGAAGACAGGAGCTCTCTCTCTGAGTTGCTATGATCCACCAGTCATTGAGGTAAGGACAGACTATGCAGCCCTTCAACTGAAGATGGGAAACCACTATGGACATGCATTTGGTAAGCACCCTTGGGGCAGTGGCTAGTCCAAAGGGTAAAACACAATATTCAAAACAGGAGGTGACACACTGGAATCTAAGGAACTTTCTATATTCCTTGTGAATGGCTATGTGGAAATATATATCCTTGAAGTCTAGGACTGCAAACTACATGCCCACATATCGAAGGGGGAGAATGTCGTGGAGCGACACCATCCTCAACTTGGTGACCTTCAGGGATTTGTTAAGTGCTTGGATATCGAATACGGGTCATAACCGCCCCCCTCCTGATATGAAGATATCTGGAAAAGAACCCTTTAGAATCCTCAAGATTTGGGATTTATATGTAATGGACAAAATTTCTGATAAAGTTGCCTATATTAATTTAACACCTAAACATTCTGATTTTCATTTGAAATGGTTCCCTTTTCTTGCATCAGTATTTAATGATGATATGTTCTCAAGTTATTCTGTACCACAAAAGTATTATGAAGTTCTTTGCTATATGAGCCGCCGCAGAGGGAAAGTGGGGTAGAAATCCCACAAATAAATAAATAAATAAAATAAATAAATAACAAACTGTATTTGTTTCATAGTTCCTATATTTATGCCTATTCATTTACATTCTTGCTGTTCCTGTTTTGATACTTAACATTCAATAAAAACTAATAAAAAAATAGAATCCACTGAGGCAGGGATTTCTCTAATGGCTCCTTTATACAGAAGGGCTTCCACCTCCGCTTTCAGTAGGGGAGGCATTTGGAGAGTTAAAGGGCGGAGTAGAAATAAACTCCCCAAAATAACCATGACTGACAATGGATAGAACCCAACAGTCTTTAGTAACGGAACACTAACTATGAACAAACTGGGACAAACGGTTGTCAAAAACTGGAAGGTTGGTTAGTCATGTTAGGGATTTTCCTCTATTAGATTGTTCTCTGGTAAGGCTAGACTGCTTCCCACGCTGTTTTCTGCTGGACTGCTGCTGGGAATAGGAAGACTGAAATGGCTGGTACTGCTGTTGTGCCAGCTGGTATCGGTAGGGCCTTAAATACTGGAAGGAGTGCCTCGGAAAATACCTCAGCTTTCCCGTGGAGGGAGAGGCAGGAGTGATGCCCAGAAATTTGGCTGTTGAATCCCTCTGGCTACTGAAGAGCTCCTTTCCTTTGAAAGGCATGTCTTCTACTCTTGCCTTGGTGTCTGAAGGCAGGGTGGAAGATCGCAGCCAGGAATGTTGCCTTGGGACCACGCTAGATGTCATGGTCCTAGTGCAGCAGTCGAATGAGGGCCTGGATGCATTAAGCTGCTGTTTCCCGAGCTTCATCCCTTCAGTGGACAGTACTTTGGCCGACGCCTTTATATCTTCTGGGAGAAAGTCCAGATATTGTTCCACTTTCTCCCAAAGCAGCATCTGATGCCATCCCATGATGACCATAAAGCTGGCCACTCTTAGCCCCATAGCCCCTGAGGTGTAGATTTTCCAGCCCAGAGCATCCAGTTTGTGTCCTTCTTTAACCGGGGGGGACGCATGGGCCCCAGCCTTCTGCATGGAAGGCAGGACCTCCGTCACAAAGGAACTAACTGAAGAATGCTGCATCAAGAATTCATATCCCTTCTCCTTCATGTAATAAAGATTTTCCAGTTTCTTCGCTGAGGTCGGGATGGATGCTGGTTTGGACCAAATTCTTGTTGCTATGTCTAGTAGGCCCTGAAGCATCAGAAGGGCTACTGCCCCCATGTTCTGTGAATAGAGGACCTTAAGAATCGGATCAGATGCTTTTGGATCTGTGGAGGTCACATCTAATTCCAAAAGCTTTGGCCATGGGCCATGTTCTGTTCTCAGGTCCTTGGTTGGAGACACCATTGGAATTGTGGCATCATGGATGGAACCAATGCTGATGGATCCGAAGCAAGAAACTCAATGACTTCATCCAAGGTAGACGGGGATGTTTGGGGTCCAATCGAGGGCGAGGGTGTTCTGGGCCTGCTTTCAGCTTTAACTGGTTCCAGTGGAATTGGTGATCGGATCCAAGGAGGGGAAACCAGCCAGCACCAAGGAAACAGTGAATCCCAAGTAAGAGGATGAGACGGGTGGCGCTGAGGAGACAGAAGCTTGGTCTTTTTGATTCTTCGCAGGTGTTTCCAAGGCAGCCCTCAGAGTTGAAGAATGTTTTGGAACCTTCCTTGTAGTCAGTCAAATCTGAGGAGGCTGAAGAGGGTGAAGAGCAAAAGCCCGTTTTTCTGGTGATTCCTAGAGCTACCTGGCATCACTTCTGGGTTTTCCCTGGAAGTGATGTCACAGTGCAGATGCTGACTTTTAAAAAATCTTCCAACTCCACTTGGAGAGGTGGTAGGCAACGAGTGCTTTCAGTGGGAGGCCTCCTGCCATAACATCTGCAGATGTGGATTCTAGTCCCCTCGTGAAACAATGTTCCCTTAAGGACTGTGGCTCAGTGACAGAGCATCTGCTTTGCACGCAGAAGGTCCCACATTCAGCCCCAGCATTTCCAGTCAACAGGATCAGGTAGTAGGTGATGTGCAAGGCCTCTACTTGAGACCCTGGAGAACTGCCTCCAGTTAGAGTAGACAGTATTGACTTTGATGGACCAATAGCCTGGCTCGGGTAAAGCAGCTTTCTTTATATATTCATGTGATAGTCAATTATATCTTGGAGAACTGTCCAGACTTGAAGACTAGTCCTTTGTGTTTCTGTTTCCTATTACAGATTCCCTATTACAAAACTAGCAGCCTTAATAGCCTAGACTAGCCCAAGCTTGTTAGAGCTTGGAAACCAAGCAGGGTCAGCCAGGTAGACCAGAGTTGCCATGAAGAGGAAGGAAATGGCAAGAGCAGGTCTGCTGATTTCTTGCCTTGAAAACACCATGAAGTCCATTGTGACTTGACATCAGTTAGTTACTATCATTACAAAACCATGAGTGAATAGACGTTAAACAGCGCACACGTTACAGTGAATATTCAATGTTTGGTGACAATACCAAATTGAGTTAGTGAATGTCTGACAATAAAAATATATTTCTTCATGGTCTGGACATACACCAATGAATGCTGACAACTTTATCTAGATGAATGTCAACACTCACAGGTGTATCCCTGAGTTTTTTGATAACTTGCCTGGAATTGTTGATGTTCATGGATGAATGCTGATATTCACTAGACTTTGGATATTCACTGTGAAGTTGCTTACCTGTCCTTGACTTTGGCATCTGACCACAACAAAATGGTTTGCCAGGATGTATGTACTGTACACAGATCTTCTTACGAAGGAGAAAAAAGGAGCAAGAAATGCAAACCTGGTTGGACAGTCTATCAGAAATTCCATGGATTGGGATTTGATTTAATAAAGCAGCCCGAGGGATACGCAACTGATTCAATACCCAAATCTGATCTGATAGGATTTTGCATCGTTAGCTTTCGTAGTGCTTCAAGAAATATTCTAAAAATGCTGAAGTGTCTCACCCTGCAAAAATACTTCTAGATGTGTGTACATATTGGTATCACTGCTCATGAGCAGTAACAGAAAGTCACTGTCATGGTTTTGCCAACGATGCATTGTCCGTACTCACAACCTACCAAAGGCAACAACTTCACATTAGAAAGTGGGGACTTCAACAGATAGCTGCTTTAATATCAGGGGCCACTGCCCTGGGCACCAGGCGTGGGGGCCCCCAACAGCCCACAGCCCTGCCCACTTGACAGAGGGGGAAAGGAAAAAGATCACGCTCCTCCTGACATCACTTGCACCCATCCTGTTTTGGGCCCAGGCCTCCCACTTTAGCAATAGCCATTTGTAAACCCCCCCCCCCCAATCCAGGGCTTGGACAGTTGGCTCAGCAGTGGCTGTTTGTGCCTGTTTCATCTGAGGCTCAGGCAACTGGCTTCCAGCAAAAGCTCCTCCCCGCCTCACGTGGAGCAAGAGCTGCCCCTTACTTGGCAGAGATGGCCGTGATTCTCGGGCCCCATCCTCAACTTTTTACCAGGGCCCCAGCCATAGCTAAGACTGCCCGCACGCTCTCCCAATGGTATGTGGCTGTGAGGCACACAAAGTGTACCGAAAGATGATTGTGAGAATCAAGTTTCATTCAAGATGTGCTGGAGCCGTGAACTAGGGTTGCCAGGTCTGAATGCTGTGCTGGCGAGGGGTGGGAGGGAACTTTCCGGGAGTGCCACGACTCTATGTTAAGATCAGCTTCAAATAATAGAGAATTGCCCAAAAACAAGAGCGTCACCACGCAACGGTCCTGACATGCTGATGTCACTTCCGTGGCTGTTTGGGGGTGGGGTTTCCTACTGCTGGCCCCCCAAACCATGGGATCTCCTGCTCCCAACTGGGGAATGGCAACCCTACCATAAACTTAGCCACGACTGTCACACTGGGAACTTCCTCACTGCAGTGGTCTGTCATGGGAAGCCCCCAAACAGTCTCTGCCCTGCTATAACTCTGACGGATGAAGCTTCTTCAATGCCGGGTTCTTTCTCTCCGTATCATGACTCTCGCTGACACATTCATTGAGACAGACTTTATTATTTTATTTTTTTTCTCCAGAATTGGCTGTCTAAATTATTAACACAGCTATAAAGATGGCACTAAATCATCAGCAGAAGGGCAGCATGACAAGATTGCAACATAATCTCTCATTTCATTGCCAGATGTCTGTTTGATGCAGATTTCGCAAAACAGTGTAAAAGCGAGGGGGGAGGATCTTTGTCTCAGTGTAAAGTGTAAAAAACAACACAAAAAAACCCTTACCTGGGTAAGGAGGCATATTGTCTTTCTATGCCTTCAAACTGGAGATGGTGTGAAGCCCCATCTGGACCTTTTCCAGACACCTGTGGAGAAAAGCATAATTAGAGATAAAGATCAATTATTCAACCCAGTTACTGACAGTGTTTCTCAAAATGATAATCAGAGAACAAATGATGCTCCAAGCATGCCAAAATCAACAAAAGAGAAATGCCGGGGCTCAAGAGGAATCTATGCTTAATCTCACCCACTATTAATAACATTTTTAAAAAAGAAAAGAATTTTATATCAAAAGGCTGCTTTGTGTTTCGCTGGAGTTCCTAACGGAAGCCGGGAGAGGGGGCTCATTTGGTATCAGAGTACCAGTCACAAGAGCGCTGCTACAGCTAAGTAAGTGGAGGAAGAAACCTGGATGGGAAACCACTGGGGACAATGTAGGAATGGGGTATAAATAGGGGTGGACAATAAGACACAATGCAAATTAAGATGGAAGATGGCATAATTTCAAAGACACTTTATGTCCTTAAAAAAGAAAAGAAAATAGGAACTGTATTGGATGAAGTCAAAGCAACGCTTAATACCTATTATGCTCAGACCAAGACTCCTGTACAGGGATGGGCACGAACCTAAAAAGCCTGATTTGGGGCAGCCCCCGAACTGAACCCCAAACCAAACCAAAAGACCCCAAACTGAACCAGGTTTCCCCTTTCTCCTGGCTGAGGCAAGCTGTGGCCGGGAGTAAGGGGATCTCCATAGCCCAGGAAGGGTTAAATGGCTGGCAGCCACTTAACTTGTCCAGTTCACTTCCATCCACTTTTAATGGCTTGTAGCCATTCAACCTAACAGCTGACGGGAAGACCCACCCCACTGTTAGGTTTAAATGGCTGACAGCCATTTCACTGGTTGGTTTTGCTTCCCCTCACTTTGAAGTCGGGTGAAGCGAAACTGACATTTAAAATGGCTCCCAGCCATTTCCACCTACAAGCAGGATGCGTCTGCCTGTCAGCTGTTAGATTGAAATGGCTGGCAGCACCACTCAACTGTTAGGTTTAAATGCCCCCAAACAGATGAACTGAACTGGACAAAAGTCGAGTAACTGTTCGAGGAAGGCATCTTCCCCGAACATTAGTTCAGGGGCTCCTAACCAGCCCAAGTTCATGCAGAATGTTGGCTCGTGAGCCGGTTGGTGCCCATCTCTACTCCTGTATTCAGACTTTGGTTGACTTCATGGATTCATTGTGCAAGTGATTCTCCCAGTCATAGTCTTCTAATCCATAGAATGGGAATGTTTTTGTGGCTACTGTTCAAAGGAAGAACTTAAGGACTGTAAAGCATCTGAAAGATGCCTAAAGGAATGAATAAATAATAATTAACAAAAAATGTGAATGATTTCCTGATCTTGGTACTCTTACTGTGTTCAAGGAATTTATTATTATTATTTTTTAAAAATAATTTATTTATGACATTTGTCATTTTATACAGCCACATATTTGACACTTTCTTCATATTTTCGGAGTCTTTTACATAAAGTTATTTTCCCAACATTTATACACCCTTAACCATTTTTTGGGAATAGGGTTTCATCTTTCCCATGAATTAACATAGTTAATATGTCCATTTCTGCAGTGTCCAGCAGTTTCAAAGCTATATCCTGTCTAGAGGGTAGTGTCTCGTTTTTCCAATATCGGGCTAGTAATATTCTTGATGTTAGGATATAAGTTAACAAGTATCTTTCTTCTGGCTTATAACAATCTGGAATTATATTTAGTAAATATATTTCAGGTAGTAAACTAAGATTAACATTCAATATTTCTAATATTATCTTTTTTACAGCTCTCCAAAATTTTTGCATTTTTTCACATTTCCACCACATATGAAAACAGGATTCTATGTTATTTTTACATTTCCAACAATTTTTAGAGATTGTAACCGAACATTTAGCAATTTTCTCAGGTGACCAGTACCACCTATGAAACATTTTGTAAATATTTTCTTTAAAGGATGTTGATTTGAGAACTCTCATTATTTTCCATATTTTAGCCCACTCATCAATGTCAGTATTATAACCTATATCTTGCATCCACGTTACCATAGAGGATTTAATTTTGGTATAGTGTTTAAGTGCGTGGACTCTAATCTGGGAGAACCGGGTTTGATTCCCCACTCCTCCACTTGCACCTGCTGATGTGACCTTGGGCCCGTCATAAGCTCTTGCACAGCTGTCCTTGAAAAAGAGCAGTTTCTGTCAAGAGCTCTCTCAGCCCCGCCTACCTCACAGGGTGTCTGTTGTGGGGAGGGGGAGGGAAAGGAGTTTGTAAGCCGCTCTGAGACTCCTTTGGGTAGTGAAGGGCAGGGTATAAATCCAATCTTTTCTTCTCTTCTTCTTAACAATCTCATCCTGCATATAGTTCTCCAACAGAAACTTATATATCTTTTGAATTAACTTATCACTGGATGAAAGCCAGATTTTACCTAATTTGTTGTTTGATACATAGAAGCCTAAGGTTTTATCTTTACTATATACAGATTTTAATTGCGTGTTTTCCCACCAAGTCAAGTTTATGTTTAGTGACTGTAACTTTTCTAGACTTTTTAGTTTATTATTTTTATCTAGTCGATTTTCATATGGCACCTTCTTGTTTTCAGACAATAAGGTGGGTTTGATAAATGCTTCTAGAGGGGATACCCATCTGGGGTTTTTCATGTATTAATTTTCTTTTAGATTTTGCCAACATTTTATCAGTGCACTTCTCAAAATATGCTGATGAAAGTTGGAATGTATTTTTTCTTTATTGTACCAAAGATAAGCATGCCATCCCATACTGAGATCATGCCCTTCCAGATTTAATGTTCTTGCATCTTCTAGTATTATCCATTCTTTTATCCATACTGCTGCCACAGCTTGATAATACAACTCCCAGTTAGGTAGCCCAAACCTGCCTCTTTTTTTATCTTGTAATGATTTCCATTTGATTCGTGCTTTTTTTTGGGTACCAAATAAATTTATCAAGTTCCACAAATTGATGTTTTTTCTTCAAGATTGGTGTATTTTGGGCTAGAAATAAGAAGCAAGGCAATATATTAATTTTTATAGTAGCTATTCTGCCCAGTAATGAGAGTTGAATATCTTTCCACTTCAGTAGATCTCTTTTAATTTCTTCTATAAGTTTTATATAATTGTTTTCCATTAGAGCACTGTTCGTTCCTGTTTGTCATTGTTATACCTAAATAATCTATTTTATCTGTAATTTCTATTTTTGAAATATTATAGATCTCCTGTTTCTTCTTGGGAACAGTTTTTTGTTGATATTTTTGGTTTTTTTAATGTTTATTTTAATTCCGGCTGCGTCCCCATATTTTTGAATTGTATTCAGTAGTAATGAGATAGATGATAAAGGATCATCTAGTATAAAAACTAGGTTATCAGTAAATGCTTGTAGTTTAAACTCCTCCCCTTTTACTTTCAATCCTCTTATCTGTTCATTAGCTCTCACCATATCATTTAGTGACTCTAACATGAAAAAAAATAAAAAATGGGGATAAGGTCCACAGTCCCAGACTTCCAGCTTTTGGATCATAAATTCCCAAGAGATGTTGTCAAATGCCTTTTCAGCGTCCAGAAAAACTAAAGCTAGTTGTTTCTCTGAGTGTATTTCATAATATTCTAAAACATTAATAATGGTTCTTATATTATTTTTAATCTGCCTTTTTGGGAGAAAACCCGCTTGATCTTGATGAATTATTTGCGATAGTACTTTTTAAAATCTTGATGCAAGTATATTTGCAAAACTTTTATAGTCAGAATTCAACAATGAAATGAGACGATAGTTTTTTAATCTCTTTTTCATCTGTTTTTGATTTATGAATTAATGTGACGAGGGCTTCATTCCATGAGCTCGGAATCTTTCCTTCTTTAATTATATTTTGTAATAAGTCTTTATATGGTATAAATATCTGCTCCTCAAATTCTAGGTAAATTTCCGCTGGAAAGCCGTCTGGACCTGGGGATTTCTTTTTTTCCTGTTTTTTAATTGCCTCTGTAATTTCACATGGTGATATAGGATCATTAAAAATTTTCTTTTGTTCTTCATTGAATTTCTTATGGTTATTTTGCGATAAAAAATTCTATTTGTTGGTTAACCTGCATTTTATGTGGATATAAATTTTTATAGAAATTTTCCACAATCTTTCTGGATTGTGATCAGCAAACGTATGTGGTAATATTTCTATTTCTTTAAGTTCTCTTATGATTGGAGATGTTATCCAGGCCATATCTATCCTGGACCAGGATTTATGTCTAGATGAGTAAAAGGTATAGTTTTTTCCATCTAAGTTTTTGGTCCTCCAAGCATCTATCAAGGTGTATTCATCTGCTACTTGCAAGAAGACTTTAGGTAAGGTCTTTCCCGTTTTAATATTCTTCCCCTGAGTTTTTCTATCAATTTTCGAATCAAAAACTGCATTGAAGTCACCCAATATACATATATCTTCAACATTCTTCTTAGCCAGTATGTTGCATATTTGTATTAAAAAAAAAATTCTTGGTTTGGGTTAGGAGCGTATATATTTATTATTATCATTATTGTAACTGCATCTATTCTTCCGTCTTTTGACCTATAAAATAATTCCGGGTGCAGAAAGTCTTTTACATAGATTACTACTCCTCTTTTTTATCATCTACTTTTATAATTATTATAAATACAAACAAATACCTCCATTTTGCTTCCCCCCTCCCCAACACATCCAAGAAGCTGCAAAACTGAAGAATGAACTAAGCTTGCTGTAAAGATATAATGCTACAGCAACAGGCTTCACTAAGAAATTCTATCATGGAAGTGTGAAGTGAAGGCAGGGCACTGATCACTGAACTTAGAAGAGCTTCAACTCACAAGGGGCTTCCTTCCTTCCTTCCATCCTGATATCACAGCAACCCGTGGGTTGCACTAAATTAATTTCAATCAAAACAAAGTCTTCCTTCCTTCCTTCCTTCCTCCCTCCCTCCCTCCCTCCCTCCCTCCCTCATATCACAGCAACCTGTGGGCTGCACTAAATTAATTTCAATCAAAACAAAGGCCTTGAGTCTCTG